TAGTAACGTCGCCTAGTACATATGAACGGTCGTCATTGCAAATCGAACATCCTTTTGAAATTTGGACGTCGGGCAGGCGATTTCAAGGCACCGCACTTAAATATTAGCAACATATTTTTCTGAGCGGTTGTTTATTCTCTTTCAAACGAGACATAAATGTGACGACATAGTCGATCCCTTATCCACCGCTAAGAATGCCGCAATGTTTCGTTCGTTTTGCAACATGCCACAAATCGTCGAAAAAAACACCACTTCGACGGAAGCTTGCGTAATAAGGGGGTTAAAACAAGAAAACAAATGCCATGTTTAATACATATCGACCTGTTTTACTTGCGAAAGATAACGGAACATGAACTCGTTTCGTGCAACTTCGGAACCCGAAGGAACACACCAACAACGTTGAATTTACCCGCTATCTTCCAAATATGGTATATTAATTTATTCAGTTGTTTATTTAGAGTGACGTCCGCGGTCGAATGCGATTGGCTATCGATGTCAGTGCAAAGGTCATATGAATATTAAAATTAAGTGGGCGGAAGGAAAATTGTATAGGAGACAAGCTGGAGTCTCGTGTGGCGATAGCGATAACACCGGGACGAATGGTCTGGGGTATTATAAAACATGCCTTCACTTTTAAATTTATCCAGATATGGGGTGAATTAAGTCACAAACAGTGAACACGTTCCAGGTTACTGATGTCACATTTTCTATTGTTTACATGGCATTTGCAATCATTAAGATATCTTCCTGAAATATAAATGTAATCATAGAACATGGCACAGCATGTGAAATAGATCAAATGAAGACAATGTGTGCAGACAATGAAGGCATTTTCAAACCTAACTATATTTACTTGTTAGCGATTTTTTGTGAATCTCAAGTTAGTTGATTGCTTGAACAAAGCCCTACAGAAATTATTTCAACACTACAGCAGTTATTAATGTGTCGGTCACTGTTTTAGTTTTTGTTTCCTCATTTGTCATTTTGGTTATGTGAATCAAATCTTTACATGAATGATTTATTTTGTGGACCGTTTGACATATTACCTCCAATTATGACATATACCTTAATTCAGTATCGTAAATGTTTTAAAGTTCCAACATATTATTGCACTTGTATTGTACAACAGAACAAATATTGTATACAACTATTACTGTCTAAAAGTGAAAACAAAACAAAAAACACCCTATTGTATTAAATCTTTAGGGTGAAATACAAACAACCTCAACCCAAACCCACACACAGACTTCAGACCATGGTAACAGTACTGTAAAGGGGGTAATTATTCACTGGGTTTTAATTTAGCTTATTTCGCTGACTGGAAAATGCGCTAAATTAAAACCCAGTGAATATGTAAAATTTAGCATAGAACACATTATCTAAATGACGAAACTGTGAATTTAAAACCCACTGAATATGCCTGAATTGGTAAATCAGTGAAATTTAAACTTAGTGAAAATTAGTCATTTTACAGTATTAAACAAACAAATTCTCACTTCCTATTCTCAAAGTAGATTGCAGACTATTGAACTAAGGAAATGAGGTCAACCCACAGAATTGTAGTTAGATTAATACATGACACATTGTGGCTACTGTCTAGTAGTACAATCTCTGACCTACAAATTATGGTATTATGTACTGCAGTAACAATTCTAAGCCATCCAAATTATCTCGCCAAATTCTCTTATATTGGGAACAAATCTCCCAACCAGGTGACTTTTATCACACATTTCCCTATCCCTCTTCTTTGTTTCTCTCCCTCTTAGTACTTAGTGCTAGTATCCATACCAAGGTAAGGAATGAAACAAACACTGTAAAGTTTTCAACGTCTTGGGTCTTCTCTTTGAGAGAAGTATACATTTAGTGCATTGATGTTTCACAATGTTACGTGCTTACCTTAATGGGTGTAGTCAACAATGACAGTTTTGTCAAAATCCACGTCTAACCTTTCTAAAACCTGTATACAACCTTATACATGCCAAGGTCCACCTATGTACAACCATCGACTATTAGCAAAGCGAAGTACCAACGCAACTGCAATTCACGGATTGTCCACTTTTCATGGTACGACTATGAGGGCGTACAACATGTTCAACCTACGACCCTTGACATGAAAGTTCAGGTCAATATCTTTCGAGCTACAGTGGAAGCCAGTCAAGTCATTGTGTTGGTAGTTCAGTTTTTACGACCGGAAAACGGCAAGCAAAATCCGAGGGGGGGGGGGGTCATCCTAATTTCAAAAGTACAATTATTTTTCTCAGTCTATCGTTGTTTATATCTAGAAAGTAATGCGGACATTTTTAAAAAGCCTTTCCAATACTAGATATTGTGACGAACGGTAGAATGTAAAGTGACAGCAGACACAGTCACTTGGGGGCTGAAAATCAATAAATACTAATTTTCAAAAAAAAATCATCCGTTGTGAAACAAGGCACCTAGTAAATCGACACCCTGTCGGTTTCAAATGTCGATTTCTTACCTTAAAATGCGAAACAAAAAGTGCAGAGGGGGTCAGGTGTTATGTTAATAACCATTGTTCATAATCGCTAACTTGGTTTTATTCAAAACTGCACAAATCGCGCGTTTTCTGGTGATATCCGACAATTTCATGATCGAAAATGGCCAGCAGCCAGAATCAATGGGGATTCGCACAGAGTTCTGGGTAAATCAAGTGCGCATACTCATTTTTAGCCAATCAGGCGTGCCGTAAC